TTCCTCCGTCTGGTACCAGAAAATTTAGAATTCAAAATAATGAGTTAAGTCTTAGTTTGAACCATATATATACTTTTAGACAAAGTTAGTGGATTTCTAAGGGGTTCCACTTAGATCTTCTATTGATATTTTTTATTATCTTTCAGCAGCAACTTGCCAAAAGCCAGATAGTCAAATTTGGTAAAGTTGCCTAAATTTACCATGCAACCTAACAAACCAGATTCTGGTTTTCTGCCTAACCTCCTTAACTTAATCAAATTAATATTTAAGGATAAAAACTTATAAAATTGTACTCTTTAGGACAGGGGTGTTTCATGTCTAGGGATGAATTACCTAAATTGTCTTGTAAACTACTTACGTGCCATCATTTGTGGGAGAAAACTAAAGTTAGTATTTCTTGAATTGATGATTTGATACACAGTAATAGTTTTTACCATAATATGCCCTCTTTTCTCATATATGTTGAGATGGTAAAAGTCCATGATGTTTTCGGTAGCAGAAAGCCTCTTATGGTTAAGAAGGAGATGCTGCTGGAAGGCATGATTACATCTAAGGAGTTCCTTTCCAGTGTTGTCATAAGACTCATAACCCATAAGGATATTCTTGTGATTTAGGTCTCTTCGTTTTCTTTTTCTTGAGAAAGCTGCCTAGGTGTTTGCTTTTTCATATTTTCATTGTTTTGCAATGAATTTAGTTCTTTCATTGTTTTTTGAGAAGTGGCCATTATTTTAGGAGTTTCAATCACCAATACTCTTAGTAGTTTTGTATGATATGTTTGTTTTCTTTGAATTCATTCTAAGTTTACATGTTTTCTACTACACCAATATATTCAGTCAGTCACTGAATTGGCCAATTGGTCACTACCAACTTTTCCGAGACCAAGTCTTTTATTGATTTTAAAATATGAAAAATGCTATGTACGAATATTTATGTATGCTTAGTCTTTTCCTTGTCTTTCTAAAAATTACTCGTACTTTTTCTCTTCCCAGTTTTCTGGCATTTCTCTCGTTTTAATTTTTTTATAGCTTTCTTCACTTATGTTTATTCCCCATTTACTATGAATTTTTTTATTATTATTTATAATCAGGTATGTGTCTTTTTTAAAACTGTGCAGACATTGGTTCGATACAAGTTGCCTGTTGTTGTGATAGTCTTCAACAATGGTGGTGTGTATGGTGGTGATCGAAGGAGCCCTGAAGGAATTACAGGACCCTTCATAGATGGTCCTGCTCCCACATCATTTGTTCCCGGTGCAGCGTATCACACTTTAATTGAAGCTTTTGGAGGCAAGGGATACCTTGTTGAGACACCTGATGAACTTCAGTCTGCCCTTTCAGAATCCTTTTCTACACGCAAGCCAGCTGTTATAAATGTTATTATTGATCTTTTTGCTGGTGCTGAAAGTGGGAGAATGCAACACAAGAACTGAGATAGGTGCTAGCTGCCCCCTTTTTCTGGTACGTTTCTTTTTGCCAATGTCAATCAATAATGTAAAAGTTTCACATCTACTCCTAGCTTGAAAATATGCATAGGCTTATCATCTGTTTGCGTGTAAAACTGAAATGAAAAGCTGTCATACGTGCCATTTGTTAGATGAATGTTTGAGAGAGATTAATTCAAGAAGTTAGATGGTTCTGTTTACTATTATGACTCCCGCTATGAATTTTAGGTGAAAATGCATAGGTTTTTAATTCTTCAGTCTGGTGGTTGCAAGTGGACTAGTAAGTAGGAAACATAGGCAATAGGATATACATTATATTTACTGAATAGCTACAACCTCTGGCGTATCTCAATCCTGCTCAAGATGGAAATCCATAATCTATGATTGTTTCTTTGAAGAATTTTCATTAGCGATTCTGCTTCAATGTTCCATAATGTTATCTACACGTCACATGATGTGTGCACTTTATTTTTTCTATGACATTTCATGTACAAGCCTAACATGATATAAATTCACTCTAATCATTAAGTGAGTGGGGAAGGATGAGACCCAGATGGGGAAAGAGGTACTGGTGGCCTTGGTGTTCCTTAATTTTTAGCTAGAGTAAGACTCTAGATTGCCAATTACAAACTCTAAAAGGAAACAACAATTAAGTGGTCGTTTGGTTTGTTGGCACCTAAAAGTTAACATAGAGCATCTATAGACTAAACAATCAAATAAACTGAGAGTAGGGGCGGGATCTGAGAAATGTAGTCCAAAAATTAAACATAAGGAAAAAAAGACTCATTAAAAAGTCTCCAAATTCAAACTCTAAAATGGACTATTTTCTTAATTTCATTTTTAATTTCTTACATAATTTAAATGCCAATACTCTCACGTCACACACATAACAAGTACCTTTCACGTAAATAAAACTAAACTAGGAAAACAAAGTTGTTATGTAACAAGACTCTTAAAAAATAAAATAAAATAAAAACTCAACTATTCTATTCAGGCCCATAAAGAACTTTGTTCACAATGGGTGGAGCTTTGCACATGGCTTCAAGCGGCATCAGCTTTTGACTCTCTTTCTCTTCCTTCTCCAACCGCTTTGATCTAAAACTTTTTAGGTCATCCCACAACTTTGGGTCTCGGTGGACGGCAAATACATTGGCCAACATTGATGTGCCTTATGGCACATCGTATCCACCTATGGTGTAGTCTGCAGATGCCATATGTGGAAGTAGAAGAGGGGCTACTGAGTGTAGTCGGAGTGTCTCCCACATGATGCTTTGAAGGTAATGGAGCTTCATGATATCTGATTCCTCCATAAGCCTTTCTTCACCTACTTGAGCGTCTATATCCTTTTTTACCTTATTCAGTACTTCAGGGTGACTGAGTAAGTTAGACATCGCCCATTCTAATGTCATCTCGCAGATGTATCTATTCTAGCAAGTATCAAAACCCAAATAAACCCTTTTTATGATTTGATCGGAGTAATATTCAGGATCTGATTCTTGCAATGAAAGGAGATGACCAATCATTGTGTCTCCCACCTTCTTGTTGCGATGCTCATCAACCAACCCTTGCAAAAGCGCATCCATTCTTTTGAATGTCTTTATAGTTTTCTTTTTGTGAATTCCGAACCACCTTATTGAAATTTTGTCCGCTAGATTCGATTATCTCTGCTAACGCTTCCTGGAACTGCTTTGCCTCATCATATTCTGTCACGTCCCCTAATATCGTTTTCCGGCTACCATTCTCATGACATTATTAAACGTTAAGTCAATGAACATTAATCTCAGCGCAACTTTGGCAAAATTTCCTCGTGAATTGTGAGATAGTTTCAACAGCTAACGCCTGACTTCGTCGTTTCACATCCCGAGGATTTTGTTCAGGCGAACGGACGAGGATATTTCAATGGAAGTGATGCCACGGAGGTTGCACTAGTGATCTCCATATGATGCGCTAATGATCGTTGTGTGGTTGTAGCCCATGTGCTTGCCAGGAATTGACTTGGGTCTGTTGGCCAGAACAACGGTATTCTTGGTGAAGCATTCTTCGGCAGCTGATGTTGACGACATAATGATGGTAAGGTCAAAGCCAAACCGGAAGTAGATGATTGGACCGTACTTATCGGAGAGACTCTGAAGTGGACAGTGAATGGGTAGTGTAAGGGCAGTTATACCAGACCAGAAAACACGCAAGGCTAAGTTCCGAGATCACCGCACTTCGGTTGCGGAACTCAGAGCTTGCCGCACCTCGGCATTTCGCCGAGAGTATGGCAGCCACAGTAGGCGCGCCCTCACCTGAT